ACGAGCCAAGCGGTTCCTAACTCGTCTAGACGGCTCCAGCTAATTTGGGATTCGGCTGGGAATGCGTTGCCTGCTTCGCGTCGTGTGCATGTGCATTTTCACGACGTGTGTCGTGAGTCCGGTCGCAGTGCTGCTTCCCTGCGCAAGTCATCATCATAATACGTATTAACAAACCGAAACTTTGCCTATTTTTTTATTTATTGTAATTTATTATTATAGTGACATCAAGTTTGTTGTTTACACAGAACACAGAAACACATAGAACACTGAAACACATAGAACAAAGAAATATAATTGGTAGGGAAGGACAACGCAAATACACTGTTAAAAGTAGTGTCGTAATTTTACTTTACTTTTTTAGTCAAGTTTGTTAGCAATTTTTCTTTACAGTCAATGTCGTTCTCTTGGCGGCGACAGTTTTACAACAACGACGCTAGTTCTGTTATGTAATGAGATTGTCGTCATGACACGTTAAATTTCCTGATTTAAAGTAATATAAAAAAATCTTGTAAGGGAACAAGAATATCTTCGCGTCACATAGAAAGTCGACAACGTCGCGATAATTTTTAACAGTGTACACTCTAAATGGCAAGGGAATATATTTTTGCCGACTGCAAGATGCGCCTGTGTGCACATCTTGCAAGATGCAGTAGGGTATTTCAATAAAGTTTGATAGGGAAGTAAGAAGAACAAAACCGGATCCAAAGAGCAGTTGTATAGGGATGGGCGCGGATGGGCGCGTGGGCCACTCCACATCCACACTCACCCCGTCTATCCCCGCATCCACCCCCACCATAGCTCTCTGAATCCGTTTTTTTCCTTGCTTCCTTTTCGAGCTGTCTCTGCATCTTGCAATGACAAAAATTGTTCCTTTCCATTGACAAAAAAAAATGTTCCTTTCCATTTAGAGTGATGTATGAATACAAATACTGCAAAACTCCTAAATGTTTTCATAAAGTAAACTGCTCAGGTAAGTTTGCAAATTAATAAGTAACATCAATTCTATACGCCAGTATACACCTATACAAGTGTTTAAATTATTCCGACAAAAATTACACGCAGCCCCAGCCCCATAGAGAACGTTTTTGTCACAAAAACATTAATGCTATCCGCACTGTAAATACTAGGGCTTCGATTGGGCAAAGATAGATTGCCTCACTCATTTCAAGCACGACACCTTATTTACGGGTGTGCAGTGCCCTCATGACATTTGTGGTGACAGTTTTTATTGCACAAATGACTTCATTGGTTACATCTCGGTGATGTCATTGTGACCCCCGTGACGACTTCGTGACGAAAACGTTATCTAAGGAATGGATAATATCATGCATTGTTTCATACATATTTGTTACTAAGGTGGGAACTAGAACTTTCCACCAACAACAATCAAGTATCCTGAAGTTTGTGGGACAATACATTAAATTGTACAATAATAGGCAATTCCATTCGTTACGCGTACGGACGTTCGTACTCAAAAGGCTTGGTCTTTTTTTCTTTTAAAAAGAGAGACCGAGAAAAATCTCATGAAAAATTGAGTTAGTCTGCGGAAGAATGTGGCTTTCAAAATGCAGTTTTTCGTATTCTGAAGGAACCATATTTTTCGAAGCTATAAATCTGATAAAAGGGTTCTGTGATGAGCCGATTTTTTCAAAGCGAATGCGACAATTTACTCCTTTTACTATCTGGAACAACCCTTAGTTAGCCGATAGACTTAAGTACGAAAATGGGCCTCTCATGACTTTCGCTTTTTTCCTTTCTTTTTGAACTGCCCAAGTGGAGATGTGAATGCAACATTATGATTACGGGCATTCACAAAATTATAATCTTTCTGTTTGGTACAGATAGTTTTGATTTTTATCTTTATGAGTTTGAAAATAAAATGTGATGTATATTTTCATATGACTATCTATGATCCAAAATACTTTACCAATACATCTTAAAACATTTATAAATTCTGAGAAAAAGAACTATTCACTTGATAACTTATCATAACCAGTCTTTAACCAAACACAGCACTATTTTTTAAACCTATACAAATTGAATGTGGCAAGTTACATTGTTACACCAAAATAAAAATCAGAGACTGGGATTCCATTAAAATAAAACACCAATTCTACCATAGAAGCTCAAGTCAATGCATTGACTTTCTACCCCTCGCCGTAGTTTACATTCATGTTGATGAAACATGAACAGATACTGAGTGAGAATACTAGTCTTAGCAAGTTTCTAGAGGAACGTGTAGAGAGTCGACAAGTATAAGCCGGGGAGCTTTACAACATCAATGTAATTTCTATGTCCTAGCATGGGTTTCTGTAAAGTACTAGAGGATTTGGCTTTTCGCTTTGTTCACGTAGTGCGGGGCGGGATTGAATATGTACACACACAGATTAGTCCCTCACGACACAAGGCAAGTAATTTGTTGACACACCTACTTATAGAAACGTGGTTGAAAGCGTCCAACCTTTAGTATACAATAGTATTAGTTTATAATATATACTAATTTTAAACAATCACATCCTTGCAGCCTTCTTCATTACTTCTCAGGGCTCATGCGCCTATGCTCTTTCCCGAAGTATGTCGGTTCGTTTGACTGTAAAAGCCTTAAATAACAAGGTTTATTAGTATGGCATGGCATGGTCACATAATATAATAGTTATGGATCTATGGAAAGATATGAAAATGATACAAAAGATTATTGAGCAATTAATGTAAAAGGGGGTTTTCAAGGTTTTCCCCTTTTAACACAACCTGATATATTTTTTCTAAACAGAAATAATTTCATTGTTTATATGTTACACAGCTCAAAATATAAAACCAAACCATGTATCCATTTGTATCTGGAAATGTACTCGTGGCCATGGCAAAAGTACCGAAACAATGCAGAACAAAACTCAAACGTCAATTCAATCAATAATAATTTGAATATTCAATTACATCGATTGATCGCTTCACAGCATAAACGATAAAGAAACGGTTTGAAAATTTACTTGTGTTCATGACAAAAGTTGGCTGCAAAAGCGCCGAAGGGAAATAGATCACAAAGTACAAAAAACAACAACAAATCAATCAATTCAATCTCCACGAGTCTTGAGCTCGCCCTAGAGGGTATGGAGATAAGGCGATTGAGTCTCCCCGCGAGAAGAGGGGGTTGCCTTACGAGACTTAATCCAACGGCCTGCGGTGACGGCTGGCTCAAGGCTTGTTGAAACCCTTGTTGAAGTTGTTGTTGTTGTTGTTGCTGCCCATCCACTGCTGGTGCAACTGGCTCGGGTGGTAGCTCTCGGCGTGCTCGTACTGCTCGAGTTGCTTCCTCTTGCTCTGCTTGGGCTGGCGGGGCTCGGGGGCGGGAGCGGGAGCGGCCGGGGCCTGCATCCCCCACTGCGGGTGGATGACCCACTGGCCCGCCTGGTCGTAGTAGCCCCAGAGGTGGTCGTCGCCTCCGCCCTGGCCGACGCCCTGGCCGACGCCGTGCCCGAGACTCTGCCCAAAACCCTGGCCGACGCTCTGCCCGACGACCTGGCCCTTCTCCTGGTGCAGCGCGCCGTCGTCGTGCTGCTGCGGCTTGGCATCGGCCCCTGGCACCACCGCCTTGGCCTTGGCGGCCTGCAACTGTTGCCGCAGGGCGTCCTGCGCCTTCTGCATGGCAAGCGCCTCGTCGTAGATCCTCTGGGCCTCCTCCTGCACCTGCCTGGCGCGCTTGCTCTCCTGCTTCTGGGCCTTGGTTTGTGTCGGGTAGAACGCCGGCAGGCGGGCCTGTGGCTGCGGCTGGGCCTGTGGCTGGGCCTGCACGGCCTGGGCATGCCCTCCCCACTGCGGCGCGCGGTTGGCTTGCGGCGGGCCGCCCAGCCCTGCCGGGCCGCTCTCGTGGTGGTAGTGGTGAGCGTAGTCCTGGTACTGCTGCTCCTGTTGCTGGTGCTCCTGCTGCTGATGCTGCTGCTGCTGGCACCAGTTCCAAGCGTGCTGTGCCTGCGGCTGCACGGGCTGCGCGCGCTGGTAGAAGCCCTGGGGGTACTGCCCGGCGGCGGCTGGGGCGGTGCGGTTGGGGTAGCCCTGGTAACCGCCGTGGTACTCTACCCGGGGTCCTCCATGTTGCTGGGCGTCGTGCTGACCAGCGTACACCTGGTACTCGGGGTACTGCTGGTGGTACTCGGGATACTGCTGGTACCCCGGGTACTCCTGCTTGTAGGCGGGCCTGCCGTACGGGTACTGCTGCTGCTGCTGCTGCTGTTGGTGGTGGTACGCCTCCTGGTAGCTGGCCTGATACTGAGCGTGTCGCGACGCGTTGACTGCCATCTGATAGGCGCCCTGGCGTCCGGGCTGGACCTGCTGGAAGGCCTGCGGGTGCGCCTGCGGGTGCGCGTGACGGTGGGGTGCCTGAGGAGGGTGGCCCTGCTGGTAGTACTGGGCCGACGTCGGGTACCCGTGCTGGGGGTACATTCCGCCGCCGTGGGCCGCGGCCGGGTGGCCCTCTTCCTGGGCCGGTGGCTGGGCGGTCACCTGGGTGGGTACCGTGGCGGGTGCCTGGGTGGGTGCCTGGGTGGGTGCCGGTGCGGGTGCCTGGGTGGGTGCCGGTGCGGGTGCCTGCGGCTGGGCCGCGGCCGGGGTGGGCGGCGCGTTCTGGGGCGTGTGGTGCACGGTGTGCGTGGGCGCCGTCCGGATGGCGTGGATGGCGGCCAGCTCGTTGAGCGGGTAGTAGGTGTACTCGACGACGCGGGGGTGCCCCGGCTGCGCGGGCGCCACCTCGACGGCGGCCGGCGTCCCGGCCTGGTGCAGCATCAGCACCTGGTGGTGGACCTGCTGCGGCTGCGGCTCTTGCTGTGGCTGCTGTGGCTGCTGCTGTGGCGGCTGCTGCTGCTGCTGCTGCTGGACAGGGGTTGCCGCGGGGTCCGCCGGCGGCTGCTTGACGTCCGGCTCGTCCTCTCCACTCGGATCGCTGGCAGCCGAGCTGGTCCTGCAAGCACGACGCAAATCATCACACCGTAGTAGGGTCGAGTCGTCGGTGGCCGTCCATTCGCGACTCCTCTGCTCGCGGACACTTACCGCCTCCTCTTGGGAGACGTGGGTGCGTCCGGCTTGGCGTCCAGCTCCTGGGGCCCGCCCTTGTCGTCGACGCCGGCCTTCCGCGCGGCCTTGGTGCTGGGGAGACAGAACGCACGCATTATTAAGGTGTACGTTTTTTTATAGCGAGGTGCCGCTCGCGGTAGAGATACTCACCGCATGCGCCCGGCGGGAGGCGGTTTGGAGGGGGCAGCCCTGGGCGACATGGGGGTGGAGGACGAGTCCACCGAGGGGGACAGTGAGTCGCCGGGAGGGGGAATTTCCATCTCGGAGTCGAGCGAGTTCCTGATGTATTGTCTGCAAAATGCCCCAGAAAATACAATTATCCGCATGGAATAAAATAAAAACAACGAACAGAACTGCAGCAGATGCACGACTACGGAGTTCGGCTGAGTAAAGCGTCGTAAGCACTGCCGCAGCTCTGCGGGGACTGCAAGAGCGCCTTGAGGTAGGCAGCATGGTCGCCAGCTCGCACGGCTGTCTTGCGGGTTTGCCTATCCCGCCAATCGCAGGCGTTCGTCGAGTCTTACTGTATACCAGGCGGCTGATTCGACCCGCCGACCACTTCCGCGCCCGACTTGTTCTAGCGAGTAGGAGCAGTTAAGAAATAGTTCCATGGAAATTGTTTTGATTTACGGCCAGTTTCAACCGCTTTGAACCAGCTCAGTAGTGGAGTTTCCTTGGTTTCCTTGAATCAGAGACGCCCTTTCCTCAGTGTGGGATGCAGTCCAGCTGGAGGAGTGTGCGCGCGGGTCGAATATCAGCCGCCCGGTAGTGCGCGCGCCAAAGTTCTCGGCACCTCAAACGTGGGTATAATACCTGATTTTGTCTACGGCCTGCTTTCTACTCCTTTTTTTAACCGACTTGTCTTCTACGTGTGGCGCGTCCTCCGTGAGCCGAGGCTCAGGCGGGCTGTCATCCCTAGAGATGACACGACACGACATTCAGGTACATCACGGCACTCCCCCGCACACACTAAAGATTTGCTTTATCGCGCCAAGGGCTTTCCGATAACGCCACCTACCCCTCCTCCCTGGTGGCCGCTGGGGCAGACTCGTCGACGCCCACGTCCTCGCCCCCGTCGGCGGTGGTGGTGTGAGCGCACGGTGGTGGCGACCCGGTGGTGGCGGCGGCCCTTTAACACGGAACACACGTACGCCTCGGTCAAGCACAAGTCGCCACGCCAATGCGATCTACCCCAACACCCGAGGACCCGAGGGGTCCTTCACTAGCGTACACCGATTTTTCTGTTTTTCTTGAATTTTTGTGATTTTTTGTGTTTTTTCTGACTCTCTGTTAATTTTTTTAAGATTTTTTTTTGTGATTTTTTAAATGATTTTTTCATGTTTTTTCCTAAGAGTGTCCACTGATTTTTTTGAGTGAAGGACCCCTCGCCAACACCTCTCCTGCTCGCTACATGCCTGTTGTCACCCTGGCCGCTGCTGTCGGCCTCCTCCAGCTTCACCACGCCTCCCTGGACGTCATCTGCGTCAACACCATCACCACCACCGTCATCATCGCCGTCATCACCACCATCGTTGTTGTCGCCTTCATTCGGGGAGTTGCTGGAATAGAAAGGTGCGTAAGAGAGGGAGAGAGGCCGCCGCGGCAGGGGAACTGGGGTTACTCGGGGGGGTATCGCATACAAATCCCGTCATTCCGAGGCAGTCCTTACCGTTGGGGCTCCTGCAGGCCCTGAGGGTCTTGTGGCTGAGGCCATGCCCGCTGCCGCCTGGAAGCTGACCGTCCGGTCTTCTTCTTGCCCTTTTGTCGCCGGGTACCTTTCTGTGTCGGTGAGACAAGCACGGCTCAGCTCAGCACTCCAACAGCGCACTCCTTCTTAATGTGCGTCACTTTTTTTATCTGTTTATTTTATTTTTTATGTAGTACACCCACCTGCCCCGTGCCTTTGTGCACCTTGGGCACCACGTCCTCAATGCGCTGATCCTCGTCGGCGTCCTCCTCAACCTTCACGTCGGCCACGGTGGCGGGGGCCTCCTCTCCCTCGGTCTCCCCGATCGTCTCCTCGCCAGAGCTCGGCTCCGCCTTTACCGCCTCCTTGGGGCGCCGCCCCTGCTCCTCCTGGGCGCTCTCGCCCGAGCTCACCGGGGACCCCGTCGGCCCGACTGGGCCCGCGGGGGAGGCCGTCGGGGAGGCCTCGGGGTCGGCAGCGTCTGCAATCAGAGTGGGAGGCGCTTAGTGCAGGGAGCTCGGACAGAGTGCATAGGGTACACGAAATGCCTTATACAGTACGGAAGCACACACAAACACGCTCACAAAAGCGGGGGGGCTGGTTTACCGCCGGTGGACGGCCTCACCTGTGCGCTTGCAGACCGTTTTGTTTGCGTTCTCATCCCCTACCACGGCCCACGGGCCTCGAGCCACATCCTCGGGATCCCCGGGATCGGGAAGGCCTCGGCCTCTCCGGATCACCAAGTCCTGGGGCTGAGGCTCGAAGTCATCGGGCATCACCACGGCGAAAAGGGCAAGGGGCGAGCCTGCAAAGCGGGGAGCAAGAGAAAACCTTAGACTACACAAGGGCCCGGCGAGTGCACGCTCAGTTGTAATATCATGGGTTTGCCTTAACTCCTGAAAAACTCAAACACATTAATAATATGTTTTTGTACATATGATAGCTGTTATGAAAGCAGGGAAGAATACAGGTCGTATATATGTGTTATTGACATCACACAACTCACGCTATGAAAAAGTATGACAGGCTCTAATTTTGTATGGTGGACTAATCAAGACAACAGGGCTACTAATTAAATAATCAAAAAGAGCAAGGAAAACAGCACGCAATATGAGCAAAAGTTTTCTTAATCTTACTGTTAAAATTATTATCAGGTACCCAATAAACACGAAAAACTCACTGTGGCCAATACGTCCCTTGTAGTTTTTTGGTTTCAAATCAGTCACGATGAATGATTTTCTGCCGAAATAATTATAGCTTACTGTAAGAGTTTTCGTTTTGACTAAATAAGTCAACATGACCCTAATAGACCCCACCGTGACTTTTCCGTGTTTATTGGATGGCTTCTTTCGTGAGGCTTCATACTAGTAGTTTTTGAATGATTGTACAGATTGCCTTGTACGGAGCAGACCATTCCTCAATTTTCCTGTGCGAAATTTCTAGAGAGTCGAAAACGTTTCTTCCGTGTATGACTTTTTTATATATATATATTTATACAGAGAAGCCGTTTGACGTCAACTTGACACGAAAACTGGGCATGCGCTGCTCAGTACTGTTCCGTGTTAGGTTTCAAAAAATGCAGGTACAAAGCGCTGGTTCCGTACTAGCTCTTATTACTTTTACAGTGATGTATTAAAATTTATTGTCTACATATTCGAACTTATGCGATAAGTGCTTCGCCTACAAGTGACAACTGTGCGACCTACAAAATCTCAACAGAGTACTGAAATCAAAGGACTGCAATGCGAAACAGAGAGACTTGAACAGAAAAACTTTAACAGCGAGAATGTGGGGACGGGCGGGGTGGAAACAACAAGAGAAGAACGTAAATCAAGACAACGAAAAACTTTCCACAAATATAATGTTGTTGTCAAATCTAAATCTACGTACAATGCACTACACGAAAACCAAAGGCTCGTACAAGTCATGGCCAAGATCTTTCTGCTCCACTTGTTTTGCTCCTTTTTCCACGCTGAGTAACGATAGCTAGCTTGGAGGCTCTGTATTCGTTGAGGCTGTCGCGTAACGCGCCAACTTATTTTTATTTATTTTTTATCTTCCCTCGTAAAAGTGAGATACGATTGCGAAAGAACACTCCGTCAAAAAAATATTGTGCCTTGGCCGCAAAATGATTCTTTCAGAAAATATAATGAACGTTCGTAAGCCGTCATAGGTGCAGTCGTTTTTTAAGACAAAATATTTGGCAGTGGCTGCTATCGGAATTTTCTTTTTTCTTTGCATTTATATTTTTTTAAATGGAAAACTTCAGCGTTTTACATGGTTAGAACTGTGTTGAAGTGTTATTGACTGGATTTGTTTAACTCCCACGCTCTCCCGAAAATGACATCATCATCGTAAATATATCGTAAAATCAGCGCTGTAGTTTTGATTCCGTTTTGATATCGATTCGAAATCACGTTTCGCACCGGGTCTTGCTATAGGCTACGCGTCGCTACCGCACTGCAGTCCTTAAGCCTAGATTAGGATAGGCTATGGCATGCGGCTTGGTTGCAGCAGTACTTTAAAGTGCAGGATGTGGCATCAAGCGGAATTACATGTACCTTGAATAACAATTTTGGAAGGCATCATTAATTCTTCCGAAACCACGACACTCTCTTTGTCGCGAGTGAAAAGGTTCTCAAACAACTCTAGAATGTGTTTCTCTCCCTCCGCGTCCCCAGGGACGTCTGGTCGACAGGTCAGACACATCCACTTGACGCCCTTCAGGCGGCCGTCAAGTTTAAACGATTTGAAAACGTAAGGGAGAGAAGTACATTCTGTGCAGCCCTGCCTGATGTTCTCGCGCTCCAAGCTGCAAACAGAAGACAGCGTTGCGAACCCAGTGCGAAACTCACTGTGTCGGAATGACATCGAAAGGACGTCGAAAATCTAAAATCGACGTCGTCACGATGTCATTTCAACACCGTTTCGGCATTCATTTCTCACTGGGGTGCAAAGCAACATGTTACATTTCGTTCTTCGAGGAGCACACCCACACTCCAATCGCACCGTTACTGACAAAGGCGTATTCTATGTGGGAAAACCCTAGTAGCGTTTAACTGTCGCACGAATGTCAAAGGGCCGTTGGGAATGAAATACAGGATGTTGCGATATGGTGAGTGACACCTCTTTTTTGTCGCTCATCATGAGCCTTTTTTCTCGAAACTAATGCCAATATTTTATCGCACCGGCGGCAATGCGATGAGCCGACAGGATGCATTCTGAAAATTATTTCTTGATAGTGATCTGACAACAAATATGTTTACACTGGAAACTGTGCGACGGAATGTTCACACATACCTTGACATTTGTGTGAATGTCCATTCACACACATTTTCAAGTGTACCATTCTCAGGTAGGCCTCCCCGCAATACACAGTGCGTTCATGCACCACAGGAATGATGGTGCCTACCTGCCAAAGAGCGTGCATAGGCTGAACTTGGCAGGTTCGTTTCGCCTAAATGCTGGACGCATTTTCTGAATGTAACGAATCTGAGGTTGTGCACTATAAGACAGTATAATTTTGGCCAATATTGTAACTAACTATGCAGGTTTCTGTTTGTACCACTGGTCTACAATATTGTCACTAACGAGACACATATTTTGCGGGGGAAAAGTTGTATTGCTAGAATGGATCGAAATGTAAACTCAGAATGATGTACTGGCATTGATTTAGCGTGCACTGTCGGCTCATCGTCATTTTCCGATAGATGGCCAATAGAGTATTTCCCTGAAATCGTACGACAGTTCCATATTACTAGGGCATACCTACTAGTAATTGTGTATTATCTACCGGCCAAGCTATGCCTTCATGTGATTTTTATTTTTATATTTTATATGCAATTATTGTTCTTTAACCCAATTCTGTGACATTTTAAAGGTCTAATTTTAATTTGTTTACAGAAATTAGTAGGCATGGATGTGTCTTATAAAAAAAATATACTGCTCTTTTAAAGGGGATAGGCACAAACGGTCCGTTATTTTTTAAGCCCGTGCGTGGGCATTTTGAATGAGTTTTTTTTTTTCCGGTCGGATGTGTCGTGTCCCAGCCTTGTCCTGCACACTTACGCGTACTGTATCAAGTGGTCGGTGTCTCTCCCCTCTCGATGAGCCTGAGCTAGCCTCTCGCTCACAGCCTCCAGAATGTCTTTCTCTGCCTTGTGCAAGGCGCGGCTCGCGGCCCCGTGCTCCACCTGGGCGGGGGCCTTGGCCTGCGCCGCCCTGCCGGGCGCGCGCCCTGCCCGCGCGGCCACCTTCCGCTTCTTCCTGCAGAGCACCCCCTTGGCCCAGAGGCGGGCCTTCTTCCGAGGAGACGACTTGGGGCGCACCACCTTCTTCTTGGAGGAGTCTGGAAGGCAATAGTTCGGTCAGTGTGCGGTCTCCTCCCCCTCTATAGGGCGGCACGCCAGGCGCCTGGGGAGAGAGAGAGATTTACACGAAAAAAAAAGAAAGAAAGAGAACAAGATAAAGAGGAAGGAAGTAACACCAAGTAACACAAAACTACAAACGTAGGGGTGTGGAGCCGGCCCGAAAAGTGCACATGCGATTGGGTCTAGACAATAATTGTGTGAGAAAGTGTGTGCGGACAATGCGTGGTAATATATAAGTGGGACACACTCGGACACAATTTGGAAACATCTAATATATGTCGAGAGTCCAACCGCGACCCTCACTCAGCAGCGAATGAGCGAGGGATGCCAGTTGAACTGCCGACGTCCAACCGTCGTCGAAACAATATTGGAATATGATGGAATCGACGTCGAAACGATGCCGTTTCGATATTAACTTCCCCGTTCAGTGCGGCGTGACGGTCCCACTGCAGACCCTTGCACTCTGGAACATATCCTAGTACAGAGACCTGCATCGGGCGGGTTGTCGGGCCACGGCAGGCGAACGGAGGGAGGGAGCGCGCACGATGTCAACTGTCTCCCCCCCACCTTGCCGGTGAGACGCTCGGTTGACAGTCCGCTGCCGGCCGGTAGCTTGCCCCGCACCTACTCCCCTCCTCACCTCTCACCCATTGCGGGTCTATCGGCTGCCCGACAACCCGACAAACCCGACTAAAAGTTACCGGGCGGGCGAGCGGGTCGCGCTGGCTTGTCGAGCGAGCGGACACGGCCCGACAACGAGGTGCGCTCACGCGCCCATCTTACCCGACAACCCGCCCGATACAGGTCTCTGTCCTAGTAGGTAAATCTATACCATTTTTCGTAATTTTTATTTACGATTTTTTTAAAAGATTACAGCCTATTCTTGCTTTGTCGATAAATTGTATGTCAACACGAAACGCTTAAATTGAAAACTTTCAATTGTAATTTTACGATCAATTTCCATAAAGCTACGACAATTTTTTTGGGTTGCGGCGATCTAGTAGCTCTATAAAATATGTGTGTTTACTTTCATACTCACGGATTGAAAATTCGTCGATTTAAGATCACATACTTAAGACGATTTCATAGAAAACTCCTTAAGTCCCACAAAAATTTTCATGGTGGCTGTGTAAACTGTAGTCTACCTACTATTTGAACACAGTGTTTTGTATGGTTAAAAGGTGGATAACTACTGCGGTTTAGACAAGGAGCTTGAGACGTGATATGGAAAGTGCAGTTTAACTGCAGTTTGGACTGCATGCAAGCAGAAATTGCACACTAGAATCTTATAAAATTCTTTGTGCATGGCTTACCGAAATCTGTAAACATGCCCGGCCTTCGATTTTTAAACTACGCCAGTATAAGGAAATTTGTTACTGGCGCATTATAAAATGAAAAGCTGAGCGTGTTTTACAAATTTCCGTAAGCTACGTTTAGAGGATTTTTTTTAGTGTGTGCAGTTGAGGCTGTAGATGAACTCTGGTGGGGGTGGGGGGGGGGGAGAGAGGGGAGAGAGAGAAAGAGAGAGGAGAGGACCCTTACCATCAGGGCTATACGCAAGGAGGGCGAGTCGTGCAGCCGGGCCTCAAACAGGTGGTTAATAAATTCTGGCCCCGCCCCGCCCCACCGCGCCGCCCCAAGGCCGACCCCTGGCTGGCTGGCCCACTGGCGCAGGTCCTTGCCGCGGCGCGGCGGGAGGGGGCAGGGGGGGTGGAGCATCAACACGCTGGGGGTCATGTCGCTGAGGGCGCGGCGGCGCGTGGCAGGGGTGGGCGCCCTCAAGCCGACGCGACCGAATAAGATTGGCGGTGAGCCGCGGTGGCGCGCCTACCACCAGCTTCCCCGTCAGGATTCGGTTAGGAGGGCGAGAGGCGGGGTGGCCTTAACACAGTTCTTTCCGGCGTGGCCACTATGTGGTCACGATCCCATGTTAAACCATAGGCACAAGAATTTGAGCCGTTAGAAATGTGTAAACCTTCGCTGTAAAATTCCTCCCTTACTGTGAAAAAGTTGCCGCACCGTGTACGCAGGAAAACTGTCGATATAACATGTTGTACAATTGCAATTTATAAAATTGTAAATTTTGCGTTCGTTGTCGACTGACTAGCAAAAGTCGAGTGGGAGGTTGCATACAGGGTGGGTGATGGAGGAACCTCATTGGAACCCCTGCAGAACTCAGAGTAGGCTGTCGGCCCAACACCTCTGCTCGGCGGGTTGGCCTACCCTCCGCGTCGCAGGCGCTATCCGTCGCGTAGCCCTGTGACTTGACTTCACAAGCCGCGAGGCCTCTTATACACTAGTAAAACAAGTGTGAAATATTTGCACACCAAACGTACGTAAGTTGTGATTTTGCACATTGTATGGTGTTTAACTCAAGTTGCACACTTTGCGTGGTGTGCAAATTTTAGACGTTTTGTAAACGTTTAAATTCTGCACACTTGGACACGCACAGTTGTATGCTGTCAATAGGGAACCATACGGTGTGCAGCTGCTATACGTTTTCGGAAGTGTCGAAAGTTTAAACACCAATTGACGTATAACATAAGTTAGACACCAAAAGTGTCTAGGAAATGCACACTTGAACTTAAACGTCATTTGACGTGCAAAATTAAACACTTGTTTTACCAGTGTACTGTTGAAAATTCCGTAAGGAAGTACGGTTTGCCGATGGTCCGTCCCGCATATTTTATGTACGGTCGAGACTGTAAGGATATATGGACCGTACTTCAGTGTGTAAGTCAACTGCTGACCAATAAGTCCAGTTTGCGAAGTTACGGTACATCCCGTACGAAATGGGCCGTAATCCAAAACTTATCGTCACGGACCTCGTGACAAATTTTCCTGGTGCACCGTAGACATTTCCCGCTGGTTTTTCTAACAGTGCTGTTGGCCCAAGTTTTTGATCCAGCTAGAGCCGTGCAATTTACGAAGTCAACCGGGTAGTGTGGCGACGAACGCACTATTTGGATGATCCAACAACAATAGGGCGATAACTCTGTTCAAAAAATCTCTGAGATTACACGAGTCGCTTAGGGACTGTGGGGAAGAATCCCTTGAACCCGAGGCGTGTGGTGTGCAACTGGCCAAAAAGTGTATACACATGATTGTGTCAGATTGTTTCAGATTGTGTGTGATTGTGGGGTTGTGTTGTGATTTTGTGTGATTTTTTTAGATTCTGTGATTTTGTCGATTGTGTGTGATGGCTCAGATTGTGTGTAATTGTCTCTGATTGTCGGATAAATATTGTGACATATTTTGGAAAAATGATGTGACTTGACTTGTGTGTGATTCTGTCGTGACCTCGGTCGTGGTTGTGTGTGATTGGGTCAAGGGGTGGGTATTGGGTGTACCTGAATTGGGTGTAGCCTACAAATTTCATTAATTGAATTTGACTTGAATTTGAGTTGGACTGAACTGGTTTGAATTATTGCGGTTCTATTTTACTGATTTAGCTCATTGTAAATTTCTTACAAAGACCTGTTCTTTGTAACGTACAAAAGAATTGGCACCTTCGAAATACAAACAAATCCTTTGTATTACGGAGGACTCGTCTTCGTAAATCGAAGCGGCGAAGTGGTTGCTCTTTGTAATAAGTAGCGGTGCTCTTTGTAATGCAAAGAAAATCCGTCAGTGATATTGTGGCTCCAGATCCTTTGTTCGTTACAAACCCAACCCTTCGTAATATAACGACAGCTCTTTGTAAGGAACTACGAGTGCGTGCATTGACACAAAATGAATGTGAATTGTCTTGAAATGGACTGAATTGATTGAATTATTTTTGAATTGGTTTACATTATTTCTAAATTGTGTTAAATTATTAAACAGAATTGGTTTGAATTGGGCAGTATTAGGAGTGTACGCCTACCAGGCGAGTTATCCACCCCTCGGACTGTGAACTGATTGTTCGGATTGTTTGTAATTGTTTTCGATTGTTTGTGATTGTTTCCGATTGTGTCATGATTGTATCTAAATATTTTTCCTGGTGTGCACATATTGTGTCCAGTTCCACACCCCTCGCTTGAGCCTCCTTTTCCTTTAGCTCCGGCTTGCCAGTCGCCGCCCACCGCTACGCGGCACTTCGCACGTAACCATACTCTGTACACTCTTAAATTCTTACAAAGAAAATTCTTGTATTACAAAGAATTTTGTGCAACCGTAATACAAAGCCAAATTTTCTTTGTAATACAAAGAAAAATCATTGTAATACAAAGAAAAATACAAGGAAATTTCTTGTAATACAAGGAAATTTCCTGTATATTACGGTTGCACAGAATTCTTTGCATTATACGAACAAATTCTTTGTAAAAGATTTAGAGTGTAAATACATGAGTCGCGCGTGTCACCCTCCTGAGAGCAACGTTATTTTGTCGATCTATTTGAGCCGAGGGAGAGGGAAATCACCACTGTGAAAAATAGTAGGTAGGTTTACAGGAAAATTTTCCTTGACGCAAGTTGTAATATTACAATTTGGAATCGTAAAAATACATGCAGTGCGTATCGATTCAAATCCATTGGCGAGTAAAAAATGTGTTCTCGTAAATTTACAACTTAATTATAATTCGAGTTTACAAAAATTTTGTAAATTTACGACGATATTTTTTACAGTGACTCGAGAACACGGAACATGGCGTTTCCCAGTCTTTCGGGGTATTTCGCGACTTTCACCTTCTACCTCGCGTCTATTTTCGCACTTTTCCGCCTTTATTTTGCACTACTTCGTTTC